GTAGTAGGTGGGCGGCGGGGCCGCGCGAGAAGACGGCCGGGGCCGCTACGGTAGTAGGCGGCGGGGCCGCGGTCGAACAGGCGGCTGGCGCCGCGGTCGTAGCAGGCGGCGGGGCCGTGCAAGCAGGCGGCCGGGGCCGCGGTAGTAGAGGGCGGCGAGGCCGCGCTAGCAGGCGGCCGGGGCCGCGACAGTAGCGGGCAGCGGGGCCGCGGTCGAACAGGCGGCTGGGGGGCCGCGGTCGAGCAGGCGGCCGGGGCCGCGGTAGTAGCGGGCGGCGAGGCCGTGCGAGCAGGCAGCCGGGGCCGCGACAGGAGCGGGCGGCGGGGCCGCGGTCGAACAGGTGGCTGGGGCCGCGGTCGTAGCAGGCGGCCGGGGCCGCGATCGTAGTGGGCGGCGGCCGCGGCGTAGCGGGCGGCAGGGCCGCGTCGAGCAGGCGGCTGGGGGCCGCGTCGAGCAGGCGGCTGGGGGCCGCGTCGAGCAGGCGGCTGGGGCCGCGATCGTAGCGGGCGGCTGGGGTCGCGACTTAGCGGGCGGCTGGGCCGCGTGTGGGAGGGAGGCGACACGGAGGGTCGCTCGAGAGCGGAAAAAAAAAGTTGAGCGCGCCTCGGGGCGCGCTTCGGTGGGCCCTAGGCAGAGTTCCACAGGGAACCCGCTCTATACCATGTGAAATGAGTAAGCAGGAATGGAATGACTAAGGAAGGATTGGGTACAAATACAACCCTAGAAACCCTGTACCCCATATGTGCTACCCCACTATAGCCTACAGCAACTATGTCATATAAATCTGACAGTTCGGGCGGGTGTAGTTTGCGGGACTCGTACGCGATTGGCTGGAGGCCGTTTCCGAAGTCCTGCAACAGTACTGCTCCCACAGCGATGTCACTTGCGTCGGTGACGAGCTCGAACGGACGGTGGGGATCTGCAATGTGAAGGACGGGCGGGGAGCACAAAATATTTTTGAGGGCCGAGAAGGCAGCTTGCTCTTTCTCCCCCCACGTGTACTCAACCCCCTTCCTCAGCAGGTCGGTCAACGGGGCAGTCAGCTTCGCCATGTCGGGGACGAACCGGCGCACGTAGTTGACGAACCCCAGGAAACTCTGCAACTCGGTCAAGTTGGTCGGCGCGTGCCAAGCCTGAATCGTCGCAATTTTCTTCGGGTCTATTTCCACTCCTGCAGCTGAAATAACATGTCCCAAAAACTCCAGGCGGTCCTGTAAAAACTCACACTTGGATGCTTTGGTCAGTAGGCGGTTCTCACTCAGGATTTTAAAAACTGCTTCGAGGTCTTGTAAGTGCTGTGCTCTGTCAGGGCTGTAATTCAGTATGTCGTCCAGATAAACGATGACGCACTTATATAAAAGTGGGCGGAATGCTTCGTTCATGGTCATTTGGAAAGTGGCGGGGGCGTTGGTCAGTCCGAATGGCATGACGGTGTATTCGAAGGATCCGTAGCGTGTTCGGAATGCGGTTTTAGGGCAGTCGGGTGGGTTGACGCGGATTTGGTGGTAGCCTCCTCGGAGGTCGATTTTCGAGAAAACTCGGGCTGTGCGCAGTTGGTCGATCAGTTCGTCGGCTCGTGGGATGGGGTAACGGGATTTGATGGTGACCCTGTTCAGTGCCCTGTAGTCGATGCACATGCGAAACCCCCCGTCCTTTTTCGGTGTGAACAGTATGGGTGCGGCGAAGGGCGACGAACTAGGGCGAATGAATTCCTTTTCGAGCAGGTAATCGAGCTGCTTCCTCAGTTCGTCTAGTTCGGGTTGGGTCAGTCGGAACTGTCGCTGTACTGTTGGCTGTGCCCCCGGTTCCAGTTCTATCCTGTGATCGTGCGGTCGCTGAGGTGGCAGTCCCGTCGGTAAGTCATCCGGGAAAATGTCACTGTATCGTGTTAACAGTGCTGCTAGATCACTCGGTACGTCGGTCAGCAGTTTCTGTAAATCCCCTCCCTTGTCTGCTGCCTCGGCTTCCCGAATGTCAACCGCGTACACGTCAGCTCCGGCCGCTACAGCGCGTTTCATCGTGATCGCATTGACACGCACCGACGAAGACTCAGGCGATCCCCAGCGAGGTAAGGCGATGCTGTTACCGTTCACTCGCACGGTGCAGTCACCCGTCGTCCAGTCGATTCGCGGATTGTGTCGTCGCAGCCAATCACGCCCGAGTAAAATGTCGGTTCCGTCGAGGGTCGTTGCGAGCATTTCCTGGCTAAACGTGAAGTTACCCCCGCATCGAATCCGAACTCGGTTTACGCGTTCCCGTATTGCCAGCGGCGTGCCGTCTACCAGTCGTGCGTCGATCTCAGGTAAGCATCGGTCCAGTGGCAGTCGCAGTTTTCGTGCTGTAGCAGTGTTAATGAGGCTGTGGCTGGCTCCCCCGTCTACGAAGATTTTAACTAAGTCCGTCCCAATTTTCCCAGTGAGCAGTACAGGGCTGTCTACCGTGGTACCCTCCTTATTCGGCCGGGTGTGGTCGATTGCGTGAACCGGCACAATCACTCGGTGAGGGTCGGTTGGGTCGGGCGAGCGGCGTGACCTGTCAGTAGAGGGCCCGTCTGCTACTGACTTCCAGCGTTTCCCTGCTGCTTGGTCTGTGTCTGCTGCTCAGCTTCCCCCTTTCCCTTAGCGTTTTCCGGGCATTCGCTCTTGCGATGTCCCGGCCGATTGCACGCAAAGCAGCGCCCTTTGAACGGTGCGGCAGCGGCATTTGCGGCGACGGCGCGTATCGTGGCGCTCTCGTTCGTCCCACGAGGCCGATGTCCCCAGTTGTTGTTTCCGTAGGACCCCGGTCTCGGTCGGCGAAAGAAGTCGAGCTTCTCCGCCATAGCGAGAATTTCCTGAAACTCGGTGACGCCGCGAAGCTGGATTTCCTGAGCGATGTCCTGCTTCAGGCCGCCGATGTAGCGGTCGATGCGTTCGCTCTCATGCATGTAGCCCACCTGCTCGCATAGCGCCAGAAATCCGCTCGTGTAATCCTGGACGGAACCGAGTTGGCGCCAAGTGCGGAGCTTCTGTCGCGCCGAGATCGAGGCCGCGATTGGCTCGAATCGAGCGCGCAGACCTGCGCACCACGCGTCCCACGTGCGATACTGGGGCACCTCCACGAAATACGACGGCGCCCAGGGTCCGGTTTGTCCTTCCCGTGTCGGTAGTGTCGCGTAGTCGGTCGGCTTCGTGACGATGACGCGCCACCAGTCCATGGCGGGTCCTCGCAGCAACGACACGGCGTATCGAATCTTCGCCGAGTCCTCCGAGACGTAGTTGGCGTCGAAGAAGACATTCATTGTGAACAACCACGCCTGGACGGTAGGACCACCCCGTTGACTCGGGTCAAAGCATGGCGGGCGCTGCGGCTTTAGTGGCATCGGTGACGGCAGTCCCGAATCGTGGGTTGGTGCCGAAATCGTGACGCGAGGCTGACTTGGGGCCGCATGCGTCGCTCTGGGGTGTGTCGTGCCGTGGTCGTCGTCTCCGTCGGGGCGGACGACGCCATCACTGGCCGCGCTCGCGGGTTGCCCCACACTCCCGTGTTGTGATGTTGAGGGTGCAGGTTGAATCGGAGTGCCAGGTGCTTGAGATTGCGCTTGTTGTGCCCTCATGAGGTCATTTTGCAGCGATGAGCGTTCTGCCGTTAATGCCGCGATTTCCTCGGAGCTTTCGTGCAGCTGTCGCAGCAGATCGTTCAAACGCTCCTGCGTGAGGGTGGTGACGTCGATATTTTCAGCCATGACGAAGGGCGTCGGCTCGTCTTAGTCTAGGCGCAGTCGTGGCTGCACGCGTTTACGAGAGAACGCGAGGACAGCGGCTCCTAGGGGCTAAGGTGCGTGAGTCCCTTCGAGTGAAAAATCAAAAGTTGATTTCCTGGTGTGCGGAGATGCGCGGTCCGAAAGAAAGGGGCTCTGATAACCAAGTGTTACGGGTGCAATGAATCGAAGTAGCGAGAATTGCACTAAGGTGTCAAACGAGTACAAAATGTGAGCGAAGGCATGAGCGAACATTTATACGCGAAACATGCAAAACGGTAACGCGGTGCGTGCGAACTTGCTAGTGCTACGCTGGAGCGAGGCTCGGGCTAGTCCCGAAGCGTAGGCCGATACGGCCATGCCAGCAGTGCGAGGTTTGGCAAAACAGTGCGCGCGAAGTCGGCGAAGTTCCGTTAGCAGTAACGGGCGAACAATCGGCTGTTGCTGTACGCGATGTAGTCGGCTCCGTAAGGAATGCCGAGAAAATTCCTTACAACGTCACACCTCTTAGCATGAAAACGGTTTGAGAGTACAGACTTGTGAACATCAAGTTCGACTGTATAGAATTTGAAGACATCTCTATAAAGCGGGTGGCATGACACGTGGCTTTCTAGGCCACGACTGTTTCACACTGTTCAGCTCTGCTTCCTTCCGTCCGATCGAACTCTCCCATCTCCGTTCATTTTCTGGCGGTAAAATCGCTTCCCGCTTCCACGCCCCCTGCCCCAAAATCGTACCACTGTGTAAACGAGCGAGGTGGCCTGGTTTATGGAAAGTGAACAGTGAGGATGGCCTGCAATAGTGACAAACTCCCAGCACAGTACCCGAACGACAGTTAACGCCCATCAACGGTAGCGATCCCACCATGAAGAGTTGCCACAGAACAAAAACGCACAGTAAACGATAGTTCGCGAGAGTTCACGACTGTTTCCCGCCAGTAAACCTCACGAAAAAACTGGTCGCGCAATGACCCTTGTGAACGACCGTTTACGACCGTTTCCCCCCCCCCTCTCAGACCCGCATTTTCACATTTTTGCGATGGTGGCGATGACGTGTTTTCGTAAGGCGTCTAGACGTAGTTCTAGGCGTCTAGACGTAAGTTTAGGCGTCTAGACGCTATTGAAGACGTCCAGACAAGCATTATTGTATTTGCTCTAGACGTCTAGTTGTCGTTTCTACAGGCTTCCATACGTTACTTGAGGCGTCGAAGACGTCACTTGAAACATTCAGACGCCTTTACCAGGGTCTCAGAAAGGCTGGGATGGGCAAGAGGAACAAAGGGCGGGGCGGACAGCGGAACCAGCAGCCCGCTCAGCAACGCCAGGTGCTGCCGCAGCCGCAGTGTCAGCAGCAGGCGCAGCAAGGGGAGGCGGACGGAAAGGCGGAGGATGGGAAGAGGGAGGATTCCGCGAGCGGCGCTGCGCAGAACGCGTCGCAGCAGCAAGGCTGCGGTGAAGATGGGGTTGTGGCGGCCGTGCTAGTCCCTGTTGAAGCCAACTCGCCAAGCAACGTGCCCGTGGCAGGTAATGTTGCGACCGAGTGCCGCTGGGGCCTTATAACGCGGATAGGCTTGGCGCCCTACGCTTGTCATGGGTTACAGACTGGCTTCACTGTTTCAATTCCAGGCAACCATGGTGTCGCCTGATGGAGACTTGTGAACATATGCAGTAGTATCGCATTGCATCCTTGCATCCTCGGGTTGCTGTCGATTACTCTGTCACAACCGTACCACTCCCGTTCGTTCCTTCCGCCATCACCTGCCAACACCACGCGTCCCTACATGCACATGACATGTCACCACACAGCAGCTCTCCGGGGGTGCAACGAGGAGGGCATGGGGGGTGAAGACGCGGTGGCGGGGGGCAGTGGTGGTGAGGGAGTGATGGAGGGCGTGGCGTGGCAGTGGCGGCAGCTGCAGGCCAGCATGGCGCAGCAGATCGAGTAAGTGCCGTTGCTGGCTGGTGTGGTGTGGCGTGACGTGGTGAGTTGTGAGTCGACTGAAAAGTCACCTCGCAGCAGATTGAGTAAGCCCCGTGGCTGGTGTGGTGTGGCTTGGCATAGCATGAGCCTCGTCGCCATGCATGGAGCCCCTCAAACACGTTTTGACTTCAAGGTGATATGGTGGTTCATGCACAAATTCGCTCCATGGGGCCTGGTGTGCATTAACCATCATCTGATTTGTTGGAAATATGACCTTCTTAGCGCACCTTTATTTTATCTACGGCTCATGGAGGCTGCATATGTGTGTGTGTGTGTGTGCGTGTGTGTGCGTGCGCGCACGCATGTATGTGTGTGTGGTCCCCCATGTCCTTTACCCCGTTCTCCGCCCTGCTCGCAGCACCATGGCGGCACAGCAAGCAGCGGTGGCAGCCAGAGAGGCAGCCGCGGGGGAGAGGGAGGAAGGGGTGACGCAGAAGGAGGAGCGAGTGAGGGCGAGGGAGGAGAGGGTGAAGGAGAGGGAGGAAGGGGTGACGCAGAGGGAGGAGCGAGTGAGGGCGAGGGAGGAGAGGGTGAAGGAGAGGGAGGAGAAAGTGAGGGTGCGGGAGGAGAAGGTGAGGGCGCAAGAGGTGGAGTGGCAGAAGCAGAGAGGCACGGCTGCTGTGGCTGCCACGATTTCTGGTGGCGGAAAAGTGGCTTCACAGGCGAAGGTGAGCAAGAGACAGAGCGTGAGAAAAGCACGGTCCGATATTGAGAAGATATGGGCGAGCAGGGCATGTTGCAGGAGGGAGCAAAGTTCCCAAAACACCTGTGTTTCTTTTTCCACAAACTGTCGCCGTCTTGCTGTCCCTGACCTCTTCTGTCGTTTTGTCAACTTGCGAAAGGCTTGCATGCACGGTGATAGTTTTGCTCTCCTTTCCCTCCATTTCCCTCCCTCCCGTCCCTTCCCCTCCCCTTCCATGTCTTCCCCGTCCCTCCGTACCATCCCAGATGGCTGATCTGTGCCGCAGGGAGCAGCAGCTACACGCAAACCAGGTGAGGCATGTGCAGCTACACGCAAACCAGGTGAGGCATGCGCAGCTACACGCAAACCAGGTGAGGCATGTGCAGCTACAGGCAAACCAGGTGAGGCATGTGCAGCTACAGGCAAACCAGGTGAGGGATGTGCAGCTACAGGCAAACCAGGTGAGGGATGTGCAGCTACAGGCAAACCAGGTGAGGGATGTGCAGCTACAGGCAAACCAGGTGAGGGATGTGCAGCTACAGGCAAACCAGGTGAGGCATGTGCAGCTACAGGCAAACCAGGTGAGGCATGTGCAGCTACAGGCAAACCAGGTGAGGGATGTGCAGCTACAGGCAAACCAGGTGAGGGATGTGCAGCTACAGGCAAACCAGGTGAGGGATGTGCAGCTACAGGCAAACCAGGTGAGGGATGTGCAGAGGAAGGGTAAGGCTGGTGAGCAATGCGAGCTTGGTTGAGGGGGCAAGAGGCCAGTTGCGGGGGCATTTCAAGGCAAGATGCACACGTGCCTATCGATGAGAGTAAGCACCACTTGCAATTGGAAGTGCTTTCCTTGAACAGCCATGCACACTTCCCTTGAGTCGGTAGAAGCTTCGACTGCCTACAGAGTTCCTGGCCCAATCTATAACTCCTTCACCTGCAGCAACTCGTCGATTCATAAGTTGCTGCTAACATTTCCGTTACAAGGATGAACCTTAATTGACTCACATTGGTTTGCCATACCAAACGAATTCCTGTATCTATCCCCCACGTTTTTCCACATCATCATACCAAACGAGCTTCTCCTATATGTGTCCCATCCACAAGTTGTCGCATTCAACCCCCTTGCACCCATCTTGCTCATCTTGCTCATCTTGCTCAACCTACCTCTGAAACTGGAACCACCCAGGCAGCGGTGGCGGCGCAGCAGAGGCAGGTGTTTGAGGTGGAGCGGGAGCTGGCGGGGCGGGAGAGGGCTCTGCAGCAGGCCTGGGCTCAGCACCGCCTGCACCTGCAGACCATTGGGTGGACTGCGGCACAAGGGGGCGGGGCGCAGGGGCAGGGGCAGGGGCAGGGGCAGGGGCAGGGGCAGGGGCAGGGGCAGGGGCAGGGGCAGGGGCAGGGGCAGGGGCAGGGGCAGGGGCAGGGGCAGGGGCAGGGGCAGGGGCAGGGGCAGGGGCAGGGGCAGGGGCAGGGGCAGGGGCAGGGGCAGGGGCAAGGGCAGGGGCAGGGGCAGGGGCAGGGGCAGGGGCAGGGGGGACAGGGATTGCAACAAGAGAAGGAACAAGGGGGCGAAGTAACGGTTGTAGGTGCGCCTGTGGCTGCTGGCTCGACTGGAAGGAAAGGGGAAGGGGAAGGAGGTGATGGGGCATCGGATGTGGGAAGGCCGAAGAGCAGTGAGGGGCTTGTGGGACTGCAAGAGGGGGGAGGCAGTGGAGGGGACAGGGATGTGGGTGCAGGGAGTGGTGATTTGAGCTTAGATGATGCTGACGGTGCTTTTGCTGCTACCAGTGCTGCTGGTGTTGCTGGTGCTGCTGGTGCTGCTGGTGCTGCTGGTGGTACTGGTGCTGCTGGTGGTACTGGTGCTGCTGATGCTGCTGGTGCTGCTGGTGCTGCCAGTGCTGCTGGCTTGGAGGGGGGCGGGGAGGGAGGGGCGAGAGCAGAGATGGTGGGGGCAAGAGAGGGGAAGTCGGGAAGGGAGGGGGAAAAGGTGGAGGAGAGGCGAGGGTTGGCTGGGAAAGGGGAGCAGCAGGTGGGAAAAAAAGGGACAGAAATGGAGGGGGAAGATGATGCAGGTGGTGCTGCGGAGGAAAGAGACGAGGAGCAGCAAAAGGTTGAGGAGGTTGGCATGGAGTCAGACGCAGGAGGAGGGAGGGATGCAGTGAGGGATGGCAATGAGGGTGTGGGAGGCCCCAGGGGGGCCGCAGAGGCAGAGAAAGAAATAGAGGAAGAGATGAGGTTAGGAGGTCAGGATAGGGCTGTGACGGGGGGTGGAGGAGCGGTGCAAGAGAAGGGGTCTAAAGAGGGGGCGATGGAGGGAGAGGGGAGGGACGGAAACGAGGCACGGGTTTTTGTGAACGTGAGAGAGGAGGCTGAGGGAGGAGGCGAGGGGGAGCAGCAGGGAGAGGAAGAGGTGTTGCGAGAGGGGAACAGGGGGAGAGGGGGGGTTGGGTCATGGGGACAAGGGGGAGCAGAGGTTTGGGGAACTGGACAAGGATTGGACAGGGAAGGAAGGGAAGGGGGAGAATGGGGATTGGGAAAGGGAGTATCGAACAGAGTGAAAGAGGAGAGATGGGCGGAGGGAGAGAAGGCCGAGTTGAGAGAAAGATTTGAGGAGGGATGGGGTGGGGGAGGGGAAGGTGCATGGGGAAGCGAACAAGAGGAGGAATTAGGAGGTGAGAGAAAAAGATGGAGAGCGGAAGGAGGAGGAGGATGGGGAGTGGATGGGGAGGGGATGACAGGAGGAGCGAGCGAGAGTGGATGGGGGCGAGGAGGTGGGGAGAATCAGTGGGGCAGGGAAGGGAGCGAGGAGGGATGGGCAAGGGGGTATGGTTCGTGTGCACAGGGGAGGTCAGGATGGGGCATGGGGGAGAGTAGTTTGGCTCAGGGGAGGGGTGAGGAGCAGCAGAAGGGGGAGCAGCAGGGCGAGGATGGGTGGGAGGGGGGTGCGGACGCGGGAAGGCCAGGGGAGAATGGGAGGAAGAAGAGGAGGGCCAAGGCGAAGAGGCAGAGGCAGGAGCAGCTGCTCACGTGTGGACTCAACTGGGGTCGTGCAAGCGCAAGCGGGCAAGGCGAGGTGTTCACGGGGGGTCATGCTCCCGGCCCTCCTCCTCCTGCTCCTGACGCTCCCCCTCCTGCTCCTGGCGCTGCTGATAATTCCCCCCTTGCGCTGCCAGCTCCCCTTCCTGCAGCATCAGTGTTGCCAGTTGGCCGTGCGAGGGACGCGGGAGAGGGGGAAGGAGCAAGGGCGGAGTCATGTGGGCAGGCGGGAGGGCACCAAGTTGGGGGGGGTCAGAGGAGGCCGAAGCAGGAGGAGGAGGAGTGGGAAGGGTTGGGAATGGGCGTGCAGGGTGATGGTGATACTGGGAGCATGCTGCTGAACTATAGTGCTGCTGCTGAGCCAGGAGCCTCTGGACCAGCAGCAGCAACAACGGGAGCACAAGTGAAGGTCGAAGCAGTGGTGACTGTAGAAGCAGGCACAGCACAGGCAGCAGCAGCAGAGGCAGGTGCAGACGTGGCAGCAGGTGTGGGGACGGGCGCGCAAGAGTGCAGGGTGGCAGTGAAAATGGAGGCAGTGGGTGGAGATGCAGAGATGCAGGGAGGAGGCCGTGAGGGCTGGACGTGGGATGGGTGTGGTGGAGGTGTGGCGGGAACAAGGCAAGGATTGGGAGGTGCGATGGATGAAGGACAAGGGGGCTATGACGAACAGAAGCAGGATCAGGGGCAGGGGCAGGGGCAGGGGCAGGGGCAGGGGCAGGGGCAGGGGCAGGAACAGGGACAGGGGAAGGGGGCAGCGTGGAGAAGGAAGCAGAAGAGAAAGAGGAAGGCAGCTGCCAAGGCAGCAGCAGCGGAAGCAGGGACGAGCGAGGCCAAGGAGGCAAAGAGGTGAGCACACCAACCCGCAATGTCTTGTGAGGCGTGTGAGCTGTGTGTGTGATGCCCCCTTCTCTGCCTCCGCTCTTCTGCTCTCCCCTCCTCCTCCTCTCTCTCTCCTCTGCAAATTCATAGCTCTGCCACTTCTCTCTCCTCTCTTCTGCACTCCCCACTTCTTCTTTTCCCCTTCTGCCTCTCCTCGTGTGCACTTGCACCTGTCGTCTTCCTAGATAGCCAATCGCAGCCAGCAGCATCAACTCACCTGCTCAACCCAACAACACCATCTCCTCTCTGTGTTCCTCGAAACAGCACCGTCTCCACCTGTTCCCTTTCTCTCCCCGCCCGGCCCCATCCTCCCCTGCCCCCCTCTCACCTCCTTTCTCCCTCTCCTCTTGCCTCCCTCTACCCCCACCAATCAGCCACGGCACAGCAGCGGAAGCGCTGGAGTCAGACGCACCGGGGCTGCTGCAGGTGCTGCAGCAGAGGGGGCTGCTGCGCGGCATCCAGCTCTTCGACCTCGCCTTCATGCGCTCAGCAGGAACAGCAGGACCACCAGAAGCAGCAGCAGCAGAAGCAGCAGCAACCGGCAGCAGTGAGGAGCAGCCGCACACGGCCCCCCACGCTGGTCTCCTCCCCTCTCAGAGGGGCGAGCTGGGGGACGGGGTCGGTGGGACTGATGTCAGCTGTGGCAACGGGATGGCGGGGCAGAGGGGGGAGATGGGGGTGGATGGGGTGGATAGGGTGGATGGCGAGGGGCAGGCAAGGTGTAAGATGGAGTGGGATGAGGGAGGGGTGGGTGCTGGGCCTGGCGTTTGGACAGAGCTTGAGTGCACGCACTCTGGTGATGCTGTGGCAATGCCTCAAGCAGAAGCAGCAGCAGCAGGAGGAGGATCAGGAGCAGGAGAAGCAGCATCAGCGCCAGTGGCAGTGCCCTCTGACTTCTCCGACCTGCAGAGGATTCTGTCCCGGGTACTCTCTGCTCTCCCAACCCCAACTTGTTTTTTGTTATTGTTTGTTTTTTTGTTATTGTTTGTTTGTTTGTGTGTGTGTGTGTGTGTGTGTGTGTGTGTGTGTGTGTGTGTGTGTGTGTGTGTGTGTGTGTGTGTGTGCTATTTTTTTTTATTTTTTTTCCCTCACAGTGGCTCCTTGGACCCACCAATTATCTTCCTTAGGCCACTCTGCTCTCCCTGCTGCACGCGTGGGGGGCGGCTTACATGTGCATCTTGCCTGAGGCGCCTAAATCAATGGACCATCGGAGTGCGTGTATAGAGCGGACATCTACAATTGCACATTTGCCCTGGAGCATAGTGTGAGAATGCCACTTGTTCCAGCGAGGACACTCTGATGTGATCCAACCCTCTTGTCTCTGCCGCTCTCTCTCATTCAATTGCTTCACCCACTTTCCGTCTCTACCCTCCAACTTCCGGCCCATATCCCAGCAACCCCTCCACCACCCAAAGCTCAACACACGTGGGAGCGCCTGCCAGGGCAGGGCAGATGCCTTTCGAGACGCCTCAAAAGCCCTCCCAAATCCCCCCATTCTCTCCCCTGCCCCACCGCCCCCCAGCTCTACTCGCACACGTGGGAGCGCCTGCCAGGGCAGGTGGCGGGGGTAGGGGGCGGAGCAGGAGCATGGAATCGGCCAGCGTACTGCGTGGAGAACCTCGTCGCTCTCATCACCCAGGTGCGTGTGTGCTACTGCCTTGTGAGTCGACTCAGCAGTCAGCAGCAGGGTGGAATCTGCCAGTGTACTGCGTGGAGAACCTTGTTGCCCTCATCACGCAGGTGCGTGTGTGCTACTGCTTGCTCAGGTGTGTGCTGCTGCCTGCCTGCTGTTTGAGTCGACTCAAAAAGGAAGGGCGAAGGGTGGAGCCGCAGGGTGGAATCGCCCGGCGTACTGCGTGGAGAACCTCGTTGCCCTCATCACGCCGGTGTGTGTGTGCTACTGCCTTGTGAGCCGACTCAGCAGCCAGCAGCAGCAGCATGGAATCGGCCAGCGTACTTTGTGGAGAACCTTGTTGCCCTCATCACGCAGGTGCACGCTAGTGCTACTGCCTTGTGAGCCGACTCAGCAGCCAGCAGCAGGAGCATGGAATCTCCCGGCGTACTGTGTGGAGAACCTCGTTGCGCTCGCTCATCACGCACGTGCGTGCTGCTGGCTGTGCTCTGCTCCTTGGCTTCTGCCTTGGGTTTCACCTTGCAGAGTGCGATACTGGATAGATAGTACAAGTATCAAGCAGTGTTCCGTCATGCTATTCTTGTCCGTCTCTCCCCCTCCTCCCTCACCCCTCTACCAACCCTCTCCCCACCCGTCCTTTTCACCACCCCCTGCCACCCCTATCTCTCTCCGCTCAGGCGCACGCGGTGCAGCAGGCGGGGTGGCAGGTGTCGTGGGGCTGGTGTGGGGCCATCCGCTGCTTCCTCTTTGTCTTCCCAGACCACAACAGGTGAGTGGAATGACAAAGCCACAACAGGTGAGATGACACGTCACACCGCCACAACAGGTAAGGGGCCTCCAGTCCTACTGCCTTCTCTCCACTCTTCACACCCAAGCCTATCCAACCTCTCGCCTGCCTTACAACCTGATTCATCCGACTCAGAAATCATCTGCCTTCGCAACCTCCTCTCCTCCCTGGACCCCAATTCCTGGCCCCACTGCCCCCCCTATACCCCCAACCACACGGCTGCCCGGAAGGATCATATTGGAGGAACCAGAGTATGGCAGAACAACCCACTTCACCAGCCCTCCCAAGCCTGACCATCCTCCCTCCCTGCACATCTCCCCTGGACCTGTTGCCCGGCAGGATGATATTGGAGGCGCCAGAGTACGTACGGCCGGCAAGGCCATCTACTTCTTTGAGCTGGAGGGGTGGTGACTTCTGAATCGACTCAACAGCCACACCGCTGCACCTACCTTCATACCGCTGCACCCCCCACTGTGCCACTGCACCCCCCACTGTGCCACTGCACCCCCCACTGTGCCACTGCACCCCCCACTGTGCCACTGCACCCCCCACCCACCACATGGCTGCCTGCCAGGATCATACTGGAGGCGCCGAAGTACGGCAAGGCGACCTACTTCTTTGATTAGACTTAAACGAGGCCTATAATCCACATTGCTGCACACCTCCCACCACACCGCTGCACCTCCCACCACACCGTTACCTGCCAGGATCATATTGGAGGCGCCAGAGTACGGCAAGGCGACCTACTTCTTTGAGCTGGAAGCGGGGGTGGCGGTGCGCTGGCAGCTGCAGCGCCTGCTCGCTGTCTTTGGCGCCGCCTCTGTGTCGCGCATCGACGTCATCACCAACCTGCCTCTTGAGGTCCACACCTCTCAAATTGCTGGTCCACTCTTTCTCGGCGACTCTAAAGTCTACTCTGACAATCGAGTACTTATTTTATTTAATATATATATATATATATATGAGTTTTTTGTTACCATTCAGTGCAGTACTGGTCTCTCAAGGGGTCATTGTGATCCACGTAGGCCACAAACACGCAGAAGCGCAATGTCAAACATGCCCCTGCCTCACCACCTTCTCCTGCATGCCATCCATTCCAGCCCACCTCGTGTGCCTCCGCAGTCCCATACCTCCCCTCACTTCCCTCTTCCTTTCTGCCACTTTTGAGAATGATAAAAAGCGTCTCTTCCTTTCTTCCCGCCAGGTGGGAGTGGACCTATCGGAGGAGGAGGCGGGGCGGTTGGAGCGGTACGGGTGGGTGCGGGGCACGGGCATCGGCGAGCTCCTCAACTTCTGCCACCGCCTCCGCCACGACTACTCCTTCCCTGGCGTGGGGCAACGGAGCTCGGAGGAGGGGCGAGAGGGTGAGAAGGGGGGAGACGGGGATAGGGAGGGGAGAGGAGAGGGGAAGGGAGGGAAGAAAAAGGGGTGGAGGAAGCGGGGAGTGCGGTTTGCAGTGGTGGAGAGGGAAGAGGCGTGCCATCCTGTGCTGGCTGCAGCAGAGGAGGCAGAGAGGGAGAGGGAGAGGAGGGAGAGGGAGGAGAGGGAGAATAGAGAGCAGGAGGAGAGGAAAGGAGGGGATGAGGAGGTGGGAGGTAGAGGAGAATGCGCAGGGGAGAGTGAGGAGCAGGCAGAGCTGGAAAGACAGCTCCGTCAATACGAGCAGAGACAGCAGCAGCAACAAAAGTCGGAAGCAGATGGAAACGAAGCTGACAGGAAAGAAGGAGGGTCTGAACGACTGACTCACCACCCTGCCGAGCCTAGTTGCCAGCCACCGCAGCACAAGCCTGATTCCGAACCTGCCAGGCTCAATTCCGAGCCCGAGCCTGCGAGCAGAGTGGAGGCAGCAGGGTGGGTGCAGAGCATAGAGGAGTGGAAGAGGCGCATTGCCCTGCGGCTGAGGGAGGGGCGGCAGCAGGGCCGGTGCTCCCGCCTGCACCGCTACTGCCAGCAGCGTGCCTCACAGCACACTCATGCTCTCAAAAGTGGTCTGCACAATGGTCTGCAGGCCGATGGGCACGGGGTGTTTGATGCGAGCAGAGGGTCTGTTGGGGCTGCCGTGATGCCGTCAACTCAGAAGTTCCCGGAAACTGCTGTAGCAGCTGGAGTCACTCCTATGGCTGCCCCACTGCAGCAGATTGACTGTGATCTTGCTCGACACTCGCTGCAGCATGAGAAGCAGCAGCGGCAACAGCAAGCGCAAAACCCGCAGCAGCAGCAGCAGCAGCAGCAGCAGCAGCAGCAGCAGCAAGCGCAAAAACAGCAGCAGCAGGGTGCAGTGAAAGAGGAGGATTCTGATGACGACCTTCCCTTGCAGGCCCTTGTGCGGCAACACCAGCAGAAAAAGACAAGGCGCGAGCAGACGCAGCAGCAAGGGCAGAAGAAGGTTGATGGGAGGCAGGAAGGGAAAGAACAAGAATGTGATGCTGCAGGCAAGAATACTGGAAGCAGGGGTGCATTGGGGAGCACAGGAGGTGCCTGTAAGCACCAAGGACTGCTGTTGCAGAGGCCGAGTGAGAGTGCAGCAGATGGTGCTACAGTGACCCCTGCAGTTGCTGCCACGACTGCAGCAATAGGTGCTGTGGTGCACGTGATAGGGACCTCAGTTCACAGTGTGACAGGCAGTGCTGCAGGTGCAGACAGCAAAAGCAATGTGTTGTGCCAGAGGACGGAAGAGGCTGGAGACAAAGAGGGCGTTGACGCCGCCCGCGAGGAGGCACAGAGGCTGCTTATAGCGGGAATGGAGGCATGGGAAGGGGTGGATGCAAGGGGTCCTCTGGACGAGTGGGTGGAGGAGGAGGAGGAGGAGGAGGAGGAGGAGGAGGAGGAGGAGGAGGAGGAGGAGGAGGAGGAGGAGGAGGAGGAGGAGGAGGAGGAGGAGGAGGAGGAGGAGGAGGAGGAGGAGGAGGAGGAGGAGGAGGAGGGAGTGATGGGTGGAGAGGTGGAAATGGCAGGTGAAGGAGAAATGGGAGAGGGCGGTGGGGAGATGGAGGGGCTGGCGATGCAGGCTGGGATGTGCATGGCAGCAAATGTCGTGGTTTGAGAAAAGAGAAGGGGGGTGGGGACGTGGGGGTGTTTGGCCTGTTAGGCAAGGAGTTGGTCAGCCAGGTACAGACCTCTGCTTATCTTGCCACAGTCTTCTCCCTTGATGTACCAGTACCGGTACTATGGTACTGTGTGTAGGTTACTACCGTAATACCCCGGATATAAGACCCCCTCCAGTTGTAGACCCCCGGGTCTATAATACGGAGGGGGGTACGCTAAATCGGTCGTTTGTAGTTATACCCCCCTTTTGGGGGGTTAACATTATTAGACCCCCCCTCCCCCCTAGAGACGAGGTCAGTTTATAGGCAAAGAATGAAATTCTGGTAGATTTCAACCCTTTTCTACACCAAATCCCATTACACGTTCACTAAAGAGGGGTAACAGTGAGTCACAAAAGCACATCTATTCATCATCCTGTCCAGCAACCCATTCTTCTACCTCCTTCCCATCATATCGCATGTCATATCCCCGTCATATCCCTGTCACACCTGCTAAAAATGGAGCACATACTGTTCGCATGTCTGGGTTCCAAGTATTAGGGTTAAAACCTGTGGGCACACAAATGTCTCATCGCTTTGTGACACACAAAAACAGCAGAAACTGTAGTGTGTCCCAATTGCGAGTCGCTTTTTCCGCGACCAGAACTTTATTTTTTTATTGGTCAGCGTGAAGCGCGCTGACGTCGCTGACGAATTGTAATCCGACTCGTCAATGTGAAAAATTCGCACGCGGCTCGAAATGTCAATGCACCTGGACAGCAATGCAGTGCCAATTTCGTGCGGGAAAAAATCCCGCGCGTCGAAACCACACCCCAGCCAAGCGGTTGAAGACAGGGATGTACAGTCATTTGTGTCACCCAATCAAATGCGCACAACTGTACATTTCGCTGGGTCGCCTAGAGTCGCGATACATTGGTTGTTTGTGACACAACATTTGGCAAATTTACAGACGCGACTCGGGAAAACGGGGATTGAGACACAAGTGTCCCTGCAGGAATGCGCCCTTATACATGACCATATGATAAGACCTGGGTCTTATAAAAGATAGCCAACTGGGTAATACCCCTCATTTTTGGGGTGGGATTCTTATAATTCCCCCGGGTCTTTAATCCGGGGTATTACGGTATTCAGCATCAATCACAACTGTCTGGCTGTTGAAGTGGAAAGGTTTTTTTTGTTTTTGTCAAGTATGCTGGTTCAAAACAAACCACGCAGCTGTAGGTGCTCCTACAAAGGCGAGCGGATTGATCAATTATTACTATCATCCTAAGAGCATGCATCCTCATGCCAGTCCTCTGCATCGACACGGCTAGCCGGCTGAGCAATTATTTGCATTTATTTGGAAGAGCTCGAGCTCTCATGCGACACACCATCTAGAAGTTGGAGCTGCATTCATTCGTTGGAAGCACTCTCTGTCTCCCGTCGCAGCACTCCTACGCCGTTCAGAAGTTGGAGCTGCTCTCGTACGTCTTCCCGGCGCTCCACTTGCTCGGAATCACGTCTTGCAGCACCACCTGCTGCTGGGTGACCGCCGCCGTCACGCGCACGCTCACCTTGCGCCCCGCGCCCACGACGTCCTTGGCGGAGGGCAGCTCCCACCGCGCGCCCCACCCGCCCCTCGTCATGCCCGTCCACTTGTTGCCGTCCGTCGACAGCTCCACCTTCCCCACCGCCGCGTTCCTCGCCGCGCCCAGAACGTAAAGTGCGAAGTAGTACGGGCCGCTGCTCCTCTCGATCATGACCGCCATGCCGCGGCCGTTGGTCGGGCAGTCCACGCTGCGGTACTCGACCTCCACGCTGCCGGATCGGTCGCGGACGATTTTGTCCCACGCGGGGTTGTTGAGCGTGAAGCCGTCGCCGTCGTTGTTCATCGCGCGCACCGTCACGCTAGCTCCCTTGTTGCACCTCTTGCTGTTCTTGCAGGTAACCTGGTAACACGTTCCGCAGGCCTTCCCGGCGTCGAACTTGCTCACGGGAATCTCAGCAACCATGCCCTTGTCGAAATAGGGATTGTCGCCGAAATTCTTCAACTCAGGGTAGCACGAGGCGCCTTTGTTAAGGTCTTCTGATCTGGCAGATACGGCGTCGGCAGGATTGAGGGCGAGAGCTAGCAGGAGAATTCCCACGCACAGCAGGCCACCGACTTTAGAAACGAGAGCCATCGGAGTGTAGGGAGAAAGAAAGATTCGCTGAGGGCTAGCTGAGCTCTTTATTTGTGACTAGGAACAGCTCAAAATTAAAGACCAGACTTGAAACGTGGAGGCTTGAATATCAGATTCTCGGCGCTGGGCATAAGTCGATATTGATGAGAGTAGGTGCAGAAGCAGGAGATAAATATAGGTGAACGAGTGGTAGGAAAGAATTGGGAGTTGGGGCTTGGCTCGAGTCGCCATCGCGAAGCGATCCGAGATTGGGGCTGTGACAATTATTTTGTTCTCTTGGCGAACTGACTGCGTGGCGACGACAACGAAACAAGGTGTAACGACGTTCGTCACGAGCGTGAGGGTTCAACGAGAATTGTTCGTGGTGACCATAATTGTGAGTTTCTGCTGCAAACCACACATCGCTCTGTCAGTTTCGGGTTTCCTCCAGCGAGTAGTTTCGCGGTGAGGCGAAACAATTATTGGAGCTTCGCAACGTCGTGGTTTTCTGAATGCGTTCCTTATTGGTTGGTCAAGATTCTGGTAACACTGCTCATTTGGCGACCCACACTACATCCAGCTTTCGCAGGTGGTAGTACGTTTTCGCAGCTTTCGTATTTCGCAGTCCCCACGACCCACCCTTCACTGAACCCACTAAGTGAGAAATACAAAAAGCTAGTATTTTTCAGTTAGGGAACATTCCTGTCGGGACACTTCTGTCTCAATCACTTTGGTACACCTAAAAACAACATAAACTGTATTGTGTCCCAAATGCGAGTCGATTTGCAGCGACTTCTACTGTATTTTTTATTGGTCAGCATGAAATGCCGCTGACGTCGCTGACGAATTGCGAAACGACCCGTCATTGTTTAAAAATCGTACTCGACTCGAAATGCCCGACACGACCACATGCACCTGGACACCTGAAAATGCCGATTTCGAGGGGGGAAAAAATCCCGCGCATCGAAACCACGCCCCTGCACGGAGGTTGAAAAAACGGGTGTACTGTTACCCAATCAAAGCACACAACTGTACAATTCTCTTTGATCGCAGCCAATGAAAAATGTCCAACTGTACCTGCCAATCTGTCGCCCTACTGTCAGAATGCTATATAGCTTATACATTTGTGTAGGCTATAGTGGGGTATCCCATAGGGGGTACAACCCAATTAGGGTTACTACTTGTACTCACTCATTTCATAGTTGATTCATTCTCGTTTCAATTCTCTCATGGTATCGAGCAGGTTCCCTCGTGGGAACTGTTCCTAAGGCCCTACTACTGCTTCCGCTGCTACTCGATCTGTCGCACGCCCCGCGGCGTGCGACCTATTTGGCGCGCGGCGATTTTCTTTCTGGCGCGCGCCCCGAGGCGCGCGACCCTGCCTCTTTCGTCGCGGCCCCGCCCCTTGTCGCGGCCCCGCCCTACGTCGCGAACCCGCCCTACGTCGCGGCCCCGCCCTACGTCGCGGCCCCGCCCCGAGGCGCGCGACCCCGCCTCTTTCGTCGCGGCCCCACCACTCTCGTCGCGGCCCTGCCCTTCGTCGCGACCCCTGCCGCCCTTCGTCGCGGCCCCTGCCGCCCTTCGTCGCGGCCCCTACCGCCATTCTACACCGCGGCCCCGCCACCTCCCTTGCGGCCCCGCAGCCCTGCACCGACCCGGCCCTGCCTCTGCTGGCCCCGTCGCCTGCCCCTGCGCCCCTGCTCCACCTGTGCCGGCCCCGGCGCCGCCTCTGCTGGCCCCGTCGCCGCTCCACCCCACCCCGCCGCCGTCCCCAGGCGGCCCCGCCGTCACCACCGAGCCGCCGGCGCCGCCGAGCTAGTGCCGAGTCACCCGAGCCGCCCGAGCCTCCCGAGCCGCCCGAGCCGCCCGAGCCGCCCGAGCCGCCCGAGCCACCCGAGCCGCCCGAGCCGCCCGAGCCGCAGCGCCACCTCAGCCGCCCGAGCCGCCGGGTCGCCGAGCCGCCGAGCTGCAGTTGCTGCCGAGCAGCCGTACCGCCGAGCCGCCAAGCCGCCGAGCCGCCCGAGTCGCCCGAGCAGCCGAGCCGCCCGAGTCGCCCGAGCCGCCGAGCCGCAGTTGCTGCAGTGCCGCCGTGCCGCCAAGTCGCCGAATCGCCGAGTCGTCGAGCCTCCTCTTCCCACCACTGGTGAGCCCCTGCCTTACTAGCGCGCTGCCTACTACTTGCTTGGCTGCCTGCCTTACTGCTGCTACTCCTGCTCCTGCTTCTACTGGCGGAGGCCAGATGCAGCTCCAACGACGCCCACGCGCGTCTCTCACGCCCCGGCAGCTTCGTGAGTGGTATGCTCAGAGTGGAGGGTCTCTCAGTTCTGTTCGCTGCTCTTACGTGATTCGCACTGGTGCTCGGACTGGTCAGCCTTGTGGGACGCCTAGTCACACACCGTCCCGCTGCTTTGCCCGTCTGAGCGACGCCTGGCGTACTGCGTTTGGCGACGAGGCTGAGCTCCCCGACTGGGTGGAGTTGCTTAGGCAGAGGGTAGATATATTTGCTCTTGACTATGATGCTATTCTCACGGCCATGTATGCATTGCCTACTAGTGCTGACCGTGCCGGTCACCTGTGCGTACCGCCTGACCCGGGTATAGATCCTGCTGCTCTAGCTGCTGGTGCGGCTGCTGCTCTGGGTGCTAGTGTGTCTCCTGCTCCAGGTACAGGTGCGGCTGCTGCTGAAGGTGCTAGTGAGTCTGCTTCCTCAGGTGCGGGTGAGTCTGCTCTCTCGGGTACCGCGTCGGCTCTGGCCTCTCACACCTTCACCCTTGACTCGGGGGCTTCCCGCTCCTTCTTTCGAGACTGCACCACACTCACGCCGCTTGGTCGGCCAGTTGCAGTCTCTCTAGCAGACCCCTCTGGGGGCCCTGTCCTTGCTCACTTCTCCACTGTCCTCCCGTGTTCGGCGGCCCCCTCTGGCACCCTGTCTGGTCTTTACCTCCCCTCGTTCTCTACGAACTTGGTGAGTGGTGCTGACCTGCAGGATGCGGGGGTTCACCGGTTCACTCCTGCGAGTCAGCGGGTGACCCACTGCACAGACGCTCGGACAGGCCGACACCTGGCCACGTTTACTCATCGGCCGGGGTCGAGCCTGTACACACTGACCACTGCGTCTCCTCCAGTTGCTGAGCCTGGTAGGGTAGCTGCGTCGGGTCAGGTGTTTGCTGCAGCGTCCAGGTCTGGTCCTGAGTCTGCCCCCTGTTCGTGTCGTCTCCTGTCTCACGGGACTCTCCTCTGGCACCACCGCCTTGGTCACCCCTCTCTGCTTCGGCTCAGAGGCATGGCCTCTCGTCTTCTTGTTTCTGGTCTCCCCCGGTCCCTCCCTCCCCTTCCTCAGGGCCCTGGCCCTACCTGTGTCCCCTGTGTCGAGGGGCGCCAGCGTGCTGCCCCTCACTCCTTCCAGTTTCCTCCGACAGAGGCCCCGTTGCAGACGCTTCACATGGATGTGTGGGGCCCAGCCCGCGTCTGTGGACAGGGTCACGAGCGCTACTTCCTGCTAGTTGTTGACGACTACTCGCGTTACTCCGCAGTCTTCCCCTTGCGCAGCAAGGGTGATGACACTGAGGTGCTGATCGACTGGATCCGCGCAGCTCGTCTCCAGCTCAGGCAGAGCTTTGGCTCGGACTTTCCTGTTCTGCGTCTGCACTCGGACAGAGGCGGAGAGTTCTCCTCTGGCCTTCTGCGAGCCTACTGTCGCGCACGGGGCATCCGTCAGACCTTCACACTTCCGGACTCTCCGCAGCAAAATGGGATTCCTGAGCGCCGCATTGGCATGGTCATGGACGTCGCTCGTACATCTATGATGCATGCGGCTGCCCCCCATTTTCTGTGGCCGTTTGCGGTCAGGTACGCGGCGCATCAGATCAACCTTCACCCCAGGGTCTCCAGGCCGGAGACCTCCCCAACCTTGCTGTGGACGGGGAAGGTTGGCGATGCGTCGGCGTTCCGGGTTTGGGGATCTCGTGCGTTTGTCCGCGACTTGTCTGCGGACAAGCTGTCCCCTCGTGCTGCTCCTTGCGTCTTCCTGGGGTTCCCCCCTGACGCACTTGGGTGGCAGTTCTACCACCCCACCTCTCGCCGTGTTCTGTCCTCCCAGGACGTCACGTTCGACGAGTCGGTCCCCTACTACCGCCTCTTCCCCTACCGCACTCCGTCCCTCCCCCCGCCCCCGCTCTTCCTTGTACCAGGTCCCCCCCAGGTCGACCCCCTCCCCCCTCAGGGTCCTGCCCCTTCAGGTGTGTCCCAGGTAGACGCAGTCAAGCCTGTCGAGGTCACTGGTGACTCTGGTGCTGCTGAGGGCGCTGAGCCTGGGGGTGCTGTGCCTGGGGGTGCTGAGACTGGGGGTGCTCCGCCTCGGGGTGCTTTGCCTGGGGGTGCCGGGCCTGGGGGTGCTGAGTCTGGAGGTGCTCTGCCTGGAGGTTCTCCGGGTGCTTCGTCTCGCCGGGTGCCACTCTCTCCACAGGAGCTGCGCGAGTGGTTTGCCCGGCGCTGGAGCCGTACAGCTGGTGCTGGAGGTTCTTCGGCTACTGGGGGTGCTGAGCCTAGGGGTGCTGAGCCTGGGGGTGCTGAGCCTGGGGGTGCTACGCCTGGGGGTGCTGAGCCTGGGGGTGCTGAGCCTGGGGGTGCTGAGCCTAGGGGTGCTGAGCCTGGAGGTACTCCGTCTGGAGGTTCTCCGGGTGCTACGTCTCGCCGGGAGCCACTCTCTCCACAGGAGCTGCGCGAGTGGTTTGCCCGGCGCTGGAGCCGTGCTGCTGGTGCTGGAGGTTCGTCGGCTACTGAGGGTGCTGCTGTCGCGGGTCCCGGAGGTGCTTGTCCTGGGAGTACTGGAGCTGCTGGGTCTGCAGGTTCGACTAGAGCTGGTGCTGCTGAGGGTGTTGGCGCTGAGACTACCGCTGGCGGTCCTGCTGGGGGTGCTCCTGGTGCTGCTGGAGGTTCTGGAGCTACTGGTGGTGCTGCTGGAGCGGGTGCTCCTGCTGAGGGTTCTGGTGCTGTCCCTGCTGCTTCTGGCGTCGCCACGCGGCCTCGACCGTACTTCGTTCCACTCCTGCAGCAGGTTCTTGGTCTTCCACCTTCTACTGGTCCTCCTCCTCCCTTAGAGTGTCCACAGCCTGTCCCGTCCCAGCTACAGTTGCAGCCTACCTCCCCTTTG